GGTGGCCCCCGACAAGGGAACAGAACAATAATGTAAACACTGTATGTCAGAACTCGTAGGATTCAGCAAAAGTAGATTTTAGGGGGAAACACATGCCTTCAACACTTACATTATAAAAGAAGAAGGCTCACAATTAAGATCGTAAGAAAAATTGTTATTGTTAGGTGCTGTCGAGTCTTCTCCGACTCATAGTGACTCCATGCACAGCAGAACAAAACAGTGCCCGCTCCTGTGCCGGCCCCATGATCTTTGCTATACCTGAGCCCAGCGTTGCAGCCACTGTGTCGATCCATCTCCTTGAGGGCCTTCCCCTCTTTCATGACCCCTCCACCCTACCAAGCATGACATCCTTCTCCAGGGAATGGGCCCTTCTGACAACATGACCAAAGTAGGTGAGACGAAGTCCGGCCATTCTTGCTTCCAAGGAGCATTCCAGCTGCACTTCCTCCAGGACAGATTTGTTCGTCCTTCTAGCAGTCCATGGTACTCTCAGCATTCTTGGCCAGCACCACAGCTCAAAAGCATCGACTCTTCTTTGGTCTTCCTTCTTCACTGTCCAGCTCTCACCTGCATATGAGGCAATTGAAAATATCATGACTTGTGTCAGGCACACCTTAGGCCTCAAGGAGACATCTTTGCTCTTCAGCACTTGAAAGAGGTCCTTTGCAGCAGAAAAATTAGGAGGAAGAAAACCAAAGTGAACCTTAGAAAGCAGAAGGAAGAACAATAAGACCATAAATGAGTGAAATTATAAACAACAATACCATAGAGAGAATCCAAAAATAAAACATTGATTTTTAAAACAGTTTAATCCAATGTACAAATCCCCAGCCAGATCTGTGGTGAAAAAGAGAGGCAGCAGGAGGAATATAAAACAGTGACTGTGAAGTAAGTGGAAGTTACAGTTCTACTTGGAAGTAAGAGAATGCTATGAATGCCTTCATATAGACAGACTGGAAAATTGACATGAAACGGAAAAATTCCTAGAAAAGTATTAGCCATCAAACTGACTTGAACAGAGAAGAAGGGTGTAGAATCCTGTTACCGTAACAGGAATTGACTCAGGAATTGAAAATCTTCTGTCAAAAAATACTCAGTCCCGATAGTTGACAGGCAAAATCCACCAAACTCCAAGTAGCAAAATTTTCCAATCATACACAGATCGTGCCCCAGAGAGATAAAGAGGGAATATTCCTCTAGTCATTTTACTGGGTTCACGTAACCGTGACACCAAAACAAGTAACAATAGTACAAGACGTAACAATTAGAGTTCAACCTTACCCTTGCAGGTGGACATAAAATTCATAAACAGATATTAATGGACTTGATGCAGTCGGATATAAAAAAGGTGACGCCTCGTGGCCAGGTTGTGCTTATCCTAGGAGTGGCAGGTTGGTTTCCCTTTCCAACATCCATTTACTAGATTGGCCACATTAACAGATGAAAAGCAAAAGGGAAAACCATTCTATCATCTCAGGAGATGCAGAGTCAGCATTGGATTGAATGCAACACCAAGGAAACTTCTTGCCAACTGGGATAGAAGGAAACAGCGTTGGCTGCTGACGGGCCCGGTGGCCTTGCAATGCAGATGGCGGACGGAGGGGACGAGTCCAAAACTGCTTAGTGAGGTAGGGGACAGTCAAGGACACTGAAGCTTCTGACTCCCAGGTGACTCGTCATCCACTCGTAAGTGCCCTGGGTGCACCCTCAGTCCTGCCCTACGACACTCAGTGGCCCTTTTCACTTGCAACTTGGCAATGACCCCATTTCTACATTGAAGTGTTTGATTTTATTCTAAAGCTTTTTTGAGTGACATCAATGCTTCCTGTCTCTAGTGTGTGCCCTGAATTGGAAGCAACTGATAAGAAATCCCTGAATGGGATGTGTCAGGGGACGCTGGCTGCCGTTATTGTTTCTGTTGTTGTTGTTGGTGGTGGTACCACCATGGTTTTTGCTACTTGTGCTGTGCACTGGGCCTTGTGCTCCCTGCTGGGGAGAAAGGTCAAGACATCAGCTACAGGCTCCGAGTCCCTGGCCTGAGCACTGAGATGGATGAGGAAAATGGGCATTTTAACACAATCGCATTACGATCCGGGTCAGGCTGGTCAGTAGTGGCAGCACAGGGGCAGCCTTTGCCCAAAAACAGAGCTCAGGAGGCAGGGAGGGTGGCAAAGGGGGAGGAATGTGGAAGGGGAACCCAGGGAGGAAGTGGGGAGAGTGCTGTTACATGGAGGGGATTACAACCAGTGTCACAAAACAGAATGTGTACACATTGTTGAATGGGAAGCGAAAGTGCCCTGTGAACTATCACCCAAACCACAGTACAAAGTTTTCAAAAAGTTAGCTGAAATAAAATGAAGAAGAAGGAAACAGGACAAGTCAAGAGCCATGTATGGAATTCTCGTTGTGCTCAGTGGCAGGCAGGTGCATCAGTGCTGTGGGGTTTGGAGACCCGAGTGAGCTTCCAGGTGAACTCGCCATGAGCCCAGCCAATAGCAGTACAGGACTGACTTCCACCGTACTTCCTATTCCTGGCCAGGGCCCATCGGTCCCTTGGAAACCAAAAGTATGAAGCATCGGCTATTGGAAAGCACTTTGGTGCCCACTGAGTTCTCTGGTGACACGGGTGGCTCAGGCCTCCCTTCCCAGCATCCAGGAGGACGTCTGTCCCTGCCTCAGGCTGGAATAGCTGGAAGTTGGACAGAACACACACTGCTGAAAACTCCGTCCAGAAAAATGTACTTTTGGGAAAGTTTGTGTTGCCTGTGTTTCCACTGGGGACGCTGCACCGAGAGGAATCTTCATAATTATAGGTCTTACAGTGTTAGAAAGGAGCTCTGGTGGTGTGGTGTCTAAGGCATTTCACTGCTAATCAGAAGGCTGGCAGTTCAAATCCCCCAGCCACTCCTTGGAAAGAAGACTGGGCAATCTACTTCCATGAAGATTTACTGCCTCAGACACCCAGAGGGGTTTGTAGCACAGCGGTTGAAGCGTGTGGCTACTAACCAGAAGGTTGGTGTCTCATACCCACCAGCTGCTCCACAGGAGAAAGCTGAGGCAGTCTGCTTCTGGAAAGATGGCAGCCTTGGAACCGTTCTGCTCTGTCCTCTAAGGGCACAGTAAGGCGTAATGAACTGATGGGTGTGGTTTGGGCTTTGCTTTTGTGAAGATTGACAGTCTTGGAAACCCTATGGAGCAGTTCCACTTTGTCCTCTAGGGGCGCTGGGAGTCAGAATAGAATCCACACTGTGTTTGGTTTGGGCTTTTCTTCTGTAAAGACTGACAGCCTTGTAAACCCTATGGTGCAGTTCCACTCTGTCCTAAGGGAAGCAACTCAGTGGCAGTGGGCTTGGTTACCATGTTAGAAGTCATTGTTCAGAGCTTGGAGGAAAGGCTGTCTGTCTGTGGCCTCAGTTGGCCCTTGTAGTCATTTTCTCTTCTGTCTCGGGTCTTGAATAAGTAGCATGTCTGAACCTCTCTGGGCTCTGAGGCCCATTGGAGAATTTGATGCAAGCTGTGCTAACCAAAACATTGACAGGGAACCTGCCAGCTGCCCTACAGGAGAAAGATGGGGCAATCTGCTTTTGTAAAGTTGACAGCCTTGGAAGCCCTATGGGGCAGTTCTACTCTGTCTTCTAGGGTTGCTGTGAGTCAGGATCAACGTGACAGCACTAGCTTTGGTTTTTTTTTGGTTTGGTAGCCTTTCTGCAGAAGGACCATTTGGTACATGGTTTGGGACCAAAGACTGTTGTTTTAGTTTCCTGGAGCTGCTATGACAAGGACATGCGACAAGTGGGTAGCTTTCAAGACCAGTACAAATCAGGATGTTGGCTGTGTTGGTTCTTCTGAGGGCCCTGAGTTAGGGTCTGTTCCATGCTTCCTCCAGCTTCTGGAAGTTTCCAGCAATCCTTGGCTCACAGCTGCAACCCCCAACACCGTCCTTCCTCCATCTCTGTCTCTGCCTCTTCTTTCACAGGGACAGCACTCACACAGGATTAGCACACACTCCCCAACACCCCCCCCCCGGCAGCAGTGTGGCCTCAGGTGAACTTCAACAACTGCCACAACATTCAATTATTCTGCCAGCTCCCAAGCTTTATTTGTCAGTTCATGAATCTGGGAACGTCTGCTGTAGCAGCCTGCAGAGAGGAGCTCTGAAGAGAGGCACAAAGCTAGGGGGGGGGCAGTGACAGACGGGAGCAAGGTGGCTGTGCTGGGCAAGTTTCTCATTGGCTGGTGGGCATTTCCTTTTCGTTGGGATCAAGGAGCTCGGGTGGCGTAGTGAGTAAGCCATTTGCTGCTAACCAGAAGGTTGGTGGTTCAACCCACCAGCTGCTTCATGGGAGGAAGGTAAGGCAATCTACTTCTGTAAAGATTTACAGAAACTCAGTAGGGGTCACTGTGAGTCAGAATTGACTCAATGGCAGTGAGGTTTTTTTTGTGTGTGTGGAGGGTTGGTATTTAGGGGAAATTCTGAACTCAGTTCAACTAGACAGGCGAATCCTGCTTGACTAGCTTAGGTTTCTGTTTCTGGGAGAGTCAGTTGTTTGACTTGGGTTTTGACCCCTTGCAATGTCAGGCATGCACAGGTGGTAGAAACTAGCCAGGTTTCAGTTTGCAGATGCAGCATGAAGACTCCATCTTGGGCCTCGTGTGTGCAGGTTAACAGTGGACGGATGGCATCTTCAAAGATTGTATTTCCAAATAGAGTCACAGGTACCGGCTTTGGACTCGAACATGTCTTTTTGGGGGACACCACTCAGTATGTCATGGTCAGGCAAACAGCAGAAGGGCACTGCAGGTTCAGGGAACAGCGTGCGCAAAGGACTGGAGGCCTGAGACTCTGCCGTCATATTGTGCAATAGGCACAGCTGGACGAGGAAGGTGGGCAAGACGCGATCTTGCCAGGCTCCCAATGCCATGGCCAAGACGTTGGGTTTAGTCCTGTGCCCCACCCACCTTGTGTGGCAGGACTCAGCCCCTCCTCCCTCTGCCTGCAGGAGCTGCAGGAGCTGGAGAGGAAGCTGGAAGAGCAGCTGGTGCGTGAGGACGCAGTTCACCAGCAGCACGGCCTGGCAAGCTGGCAGCAGTGGGGGCCCGAGGGGCCTGGGCTTCTGAATGAGCCTGTGCAGGGCGGTTCCGAAGGGCAGGTCTCTGCCGTCCTGCGGCAAGCTCTGAGCCAGCACCGGAGGATCCTGGAGCACCATGAGCAGAGGTAAGCCCAGGACCGGGCGGCTCTGTGTCGTGTCGGTCCATGGCTGGCCTGAGGACACCCGGCCCTCTCTCTCACACACCCATCTGAGGTGTGGCCCCCAATGTGGGCCAGAGCTGCCGACTGTAGCATGCTTCTTCCTGCCCTTTCCTATGTTTTCCCTTTACGTACCATGGAGGTTTACTAAGCATGATATGCTTTGGACTTTTAGTTTGAAGTAATTATAGGCTCACAAGAAGTTGCAAAAATTTACGTACCCTTCATGCAGCTTCCCCCAAGGGTAACATCGAATGTAACTATGAGAAAAAAACAAACAAACAAACAAAAAAAAAAACACACCAGCTACCACAGCTTCCAAAGCAACCTGCTTCCAAAACAACTACCCATTGCAAGCTCTATGGGGTGCAATTCTCCCCTGGCACACAAGGGGGTACTGTGAGCTGTATTGACTCAATGTCATGTGGTTCTAGGAGGAATGAATCTTTTCCTGTGGGTGTCAAAGGAAAAGACCCTGTGGATTAGATTTGTGACTTTGTTGTTTAAAGGACCGGAAGATCCTTCACACAGCATCCCTCTATAGCAAAAGTGAACTCACGTAGATTTTAATTTTACTCTAGTTTGAGAGAAGAGCAACAGAACAGTGTCGTGCTTGAAGATTTGATGGAAAATATGGAGACTGATACCTTCGTGACACTCTATGGCCAGGTAAAAACATCCCTTCCCAGCCCATCATGTCACCTCCCTGAGTCCAGGTGTCCCCATAAGAGAGGGTCAACCATGCAAACATGTCACCTCCCAGGGTCCAGGTGTTCCCATCTTAGGGTGGGACAACCATGCCAACATGTCACCTCCCAGGGTTCAGGTGTCCCTGTCTTAGGGTGGGGTGACCATGCAAGTACATCACCTTCCAAAGTCCAGGTGTCCCCATCTTAGGGTAGTGTGACCATGTGAGTCCATCACCTCCCAGGGGCCAGGTGTCCTGATCTTAGGGTGAGGTGATCATGTGAGTCCATCACCTCCCAGGGTCTGGGTGTCCCCATCTTAGGGTGAGGTGACCATGCAAACATGTCACCTCCCAATGTCCAGGTGTTCCCTGACCATGCAAACATGTCACCTCCCAGGGGCCTGGTGTCCCCATTTTAGGTTAGGGTGCCCAGGTGAATTGGGAACTGCTGAGGACTTGTGAATAGCCCCAGCACAGGGCCATCCCATGGAGACATTCAGTCATGGGAGCAGCAGCTACAGCAATGACAGTGATCATCACCCTCATCCCCTTCTTTTCCATGACTTGACAGGCGCCCAAACATTCTTCCTCTTCTCATTCTTAAATAAGTTTAATTTATAAATAGTTAATTCCAAAGACCCTCATAGCCAGAGGAGAAGAGCAGAAAAACATGTCCACTTTTCAGGGTTGAGATTAGCCGACCCTTCTCAGGCTTCCACCACTCCTCTGTCAGTTTGTCATACTGTGGTGGCCTCTGTGTTGCTGTGAGGCTGGAGGCTATGCCACAGGTATTTCAAATACCAGCAGGGTCACCCATGGTGGACAGGTTTCAGTAGAGCTTCCAGACTAAGACATACTCAGAAGAAGGAAGGGGGCCATCCACTTCTCAAAGAATTGGCAAGTGAAAACCTTATGTATAGCAGTGAAACACTGCTTGATATATCACTGGAAAACTTTATATATAGTCCAGATGACGTATAGCACTGGGCAAATTGGCTCTTTCAAGTGCTGAAGAACAAAGATGTCTTCTTGAGGACTAAGGTGCACCTGACACAGCCATGGTATTTTCAATCGCCTCATATGCATGTGAGAGCCAGACAACGAACAAGGAAGACCAAAGAAGAATTGATGCTTTTGAGTTGTGGTGTTGGTTAAGAATCCTGAAAGTACCACGAACTGCAAGAAGAATAAACAAATCTGTCCTGGAAGAAGTGCAGCCAAAATGTTCCTTGTCAGCCAGAATGGCCAGACTTCGTCTCACCTACTTTGGTCATGTTGTCAGAAGGGACCATTCCCTGGAGAAGGATGTCATGCTTGGTAAAGTGGAGGGTCAATGAAAAAAGGGAAGGCCTTCAACGAAATGGATTGAAGTGGCTGAAATGAAGGGCTTGGGTATAGAGAGTGTCATGAGGCTGGCACAGGACCGGGCGGTGTTATTTCTGTTGTACATAGGGTTGCTATGTGTCAGAGCCGACTCAACAGCACATAACAACAACAACACCCCAGTCTTGGCCAGAGGGCCAGCTCCCATCTTCTTCCTGAGACTGAGCCCCTAGGCAGTGAGTTCATTTGTTGTAGTTTGTTGCTCTTGAGTGGGGTGTGACTCATGGCGACCCCGTGTACAACTGAGGGAAATATATCCCTGTCTCACATGCCATCTTCATGATAGTTGGTATATTTGAATACATTTTTACAACTGTCATGGTGCCTTCCAACGTAGGGGCTCATCTTCCAGCACTGTTGGCCCACGTTCTGTTGAGATACAGAGTTCTCATTGGCTGATTTTCAGAAGGAGATCACCAGGCCTTTCTTCTCAATCTGTCTTAATCTGGAAGCTCTGCTGAAACCTGTCCACTGTGGGTGACCCTGCTGTTGTTGTTTTTAAGTGCCATCGAGTCATCTCTGACTCATAGCGACTCCTCCTTGGGTTTCTGAGGCAGTATCTCTATGGAAGTAGATTGTCCAACCTTCCTTCTGAGAAATGGCTGGTGAGTTTGAACCGCCAAACTTCTGGTTAGCAGGCGAGTGTCTTAGCCACTACAGCTCCTGGCTGTGAGGGGGCTGGAAACCGGAAACGTACCTTCCACCTCTGAGAAGGATGCTAGCAGGGAGAAGGGCCTTGGGGTCAGCTCCTAGGTGTCCTGCTGACAGAGTCGGCCCCCGCCATGCACAGACACACACAGCTCCCAGCTGGATTAGCTTCCTGTGGCTGCCATAGCAAATGGACACGTTTGGTGGCAAAACAACACTAATGTCTTATCTTCCAGTTCTGAAGGCCAGAGGTGTCAGCTGGACTGGGCTCCTTTCAGGAGGGTCTGGGGGCAGTCTGTTTCCTGCTTATTCAAGGAGTTTGGCAGAAGTCATTTATTTGAGGTTGTAGGACTGGGGTCCACATTTCCTTGCTGGCTGTCAGCTGAGGCCTAGCTTCTAGAGGTGGCCACTCGTGGCCCACTTCCTCCATCTTCAAACCCTTCATCCACCTTCGTCCACCACCACATCTCCCTCTGTGGACCTCAGTGGGAAAGATCCCTGCTTTCAAGGACTCATGTGATGACACTGGGCCCACCTGAATAATCTGGGATAATCTCCCATCTCAAGGTCCTAACCTTAATCACATCTGCAAAGCCCCCTTTCCCATAAGGTTGTATATTCATGGCTTCTTTGGACCGGGCTGTGGACACCTTTGCAGGGAGGTCATCGGTCTATTGACCACATGGAAGATGAAGCCACAGTTAGCTCTGGAAGGCTCCATCCAGATCAGTGGGGAATCTGATGGCGTGGTTCCATGCTCCTTCCCCTCCAAGGCTTTATTAGTATTTACCTCCCCATGACATGTCCCTCCCAAAATACATTCTGCTCCTCACCTCACCATTGGACAGGTTCTCTCATCATCTCCCCTTTTCACACAAGTCCTCCAAAGGTGAAATTCATCCCCAGTGCACACTCAGAGTAACTGGTGGTGATTAACGTGCTCACCTGCTAACTGCATGGTTGGAGGCTTAAGTCCACCCAGAGGCATGTCAGAAGGACCTGAAAAGTCAGCCATCGGAACCCTGTGGATCACAGTTCTGCTCTGACCCACATGGGGCCACCAGGAGTTGAAGCTGAGTTGATGGCAATTGTTTAAGTCTGGTCGTAAGAGGGGGAATTGGAGGTAGCTGCGAGGATGGTGAGACTCAGCTCGCTTACTCTGGACACATCATCAGGAGAGACCAACAGCTAGGAGAGGGCATCGTGTTTGGTAAAGGTGCAGCGAAAATGGGGGAGACTCTTAAGAAGATTTTGTTTCCTGCTCATTAGACTGCTAAGGACAAAGTAATGTACAGAACGAAACACTGCCCAGGCCTGTGCCACCCTCACAATCCTGGCTGAGCTTGAGCCCATCGTTGCAGCCACGTGTCAGCCCATCTTGTTGGGGGTCTTCCCTTTCTTTGCTGACCCTCCACCTTACCAAGGATTATATCATTCTCCAAGGAATGGTCCCTTCTGACAACATGTCCAAAGTAGGTGAGACGAAGTCTGGCCATCCTCGCTTCCAAGGAACATTCTGGCTACAGTTCGTCCAGGACAGACTTAGTTCTTCTGGCAGTCCGTGATACTTTCAATAGTCTTGGCCAACACCACAACTCAGAAGCATCAAGTCTTCTTCGGTCTTCCTAATTCATTGTCCACCCTTCACATGCATATGAGGCGATTGAAAACACCATGGCTTGGGTCAGGCACACCTTAGTCTTCAAAGTGACATCTTTGCTCTTTAACACTTGAAAGAGGTCTTTTGCAGCAGATTTGCCCAGTGAAATACATCCTTTGATCTCCTGACTTCTGCTTCCATGGATGTTGATTGTGGATCCAAGTAAAATGAAATCCCTGACAACTTTAGTCTTTTTCTCCATTTATTGTCATGTTGCTTATTGGTCTAGTTATGAGGATTTTTGTTTTCTTTATGTCGAAATGTATCCATACTGAAGGCTGTAATCTTTGATATTCATGATAGGGGTTAGAATTTACAACACATATTTTGGCTCTGGTGGTGCCTAAAGCATTGGGCTGCTAACCAGAAGGCTGGGATTTCAAACCCACCAGCCACTCCTTGGAAGGAAGACTGGGCAATCTACTTCTGTAGAGATACTGCCTCAGAAACCCAAGCAGGGGTCCCTGTGAGTTGGATCCAACTCGATGGCAGTGAGTTTAAGATTTTTTTGGGGGGTGGGGTGCACAATTCATTCCATAACACTCCATGGAGCAGGGCTCTACCCTGTGCTGTGGGGTAAGGCTACACCCCACCAGTGTCCTTACTGAGCTCATCTCCTTTCCTTCCTTGAGACTTCAGGATGACAGGGGTCATTTGCAGATACCACTCAGGAATTCTGTCTTTCACCACAGAAGGTTATGACTTAGAGTCAGCTTAACTTCCAGGACCCTGGCATCCTCTGAAGAAGGAAGGAGTCAGGCAGCCTTCATTCATGTGTTTACTGAGCCTCTCGCAAAGGGCAGGTGTTGTCCGAGATCCGGTGATTTCAGCAGTAAATCAAACAGATAAAGTCCATACACTCAGGAGATGATACTATAGTGGAAGAAACAAGCAGTCAACAAAATGATTGTGTAGACTCTGTAGTACTTATATGGTCTGTGGCCTCATTTTCACAAAATTATGTCCATCTACTTATCCATCCATCCATCCATCCATCTACCCACCTATGCCTTGCCTTTCCATCCTTCTGTCCATCCATCCATCCACCTATCCATGTCTATCTATCCTTCCACCCTTCTGTTCATCCATTCAGCCATCCATGCATGTGTCCTTCCATTGTCCTATCTAGCCATCCTTCCTCTGTCAGGGGAGACTTGGGTTTTACTGGGATGCTGAACAGGTTTCAGTGGAGCTTCCAGACTAAGACCGACTAGGAACAAGGGCCTGGCCATCTCTTTCTGAGAGTCAGCCATTGAAAACCCTGTGGATCACAACAGTCTGACCCACAGCTGATCATGACAGTGGCCAGGACCAGGCAGCATTGCATTACGTTATGCATGGGGTTGCCATAAAGTCAGGGACCAACCTGATGGCAGCTAACAAAAGACTAAAGCCAACCCCTAAATTTATGGTCACACTCATCCCTTCCCCACTACCATATCTAACTCCTGGCAGCCAGTGCTCTGTTGCCCATCTCAGAATTCTGTGACTTTGGGCATGTTCTATGCATGGAATCAGAGAGAATCCTGAACAATGGCCTTTTACACACAACAGAGCGCCCCAAGATCCACTGGTTGGTTCTTTATACTGCATGGTATTCCGTGGCCTGGGCATAGCCCAGTTGCATAACTATACCATTGAGGGACTTTTGGGATGTTTCAAGAGACTGCACTGTCCCCCCATGCCATCTCACTTCACAGCACATGAGTGGGAAGGATCATTAATTGGCCCTGCTGCTGGCCAGGGCTTTTGCTACTGGTGCGAGCTGAGAGTAATTGAAAGGATGGATGCAGCCTTTGAAAACGTCATGGGAAACCAGGGCTGCTGACTAAATAGATTTTTCTGACAGGTCTGTGAATTCAGGAATATGTTTTTGAGACCACGTTACTAAAATATGCATGACTCTGGGACAGAAAGTCTTGAGAATGTCATAAATTAAACATGGTGGCTCATCCAGCTCAGAGGCGGTAGGCCCTGAGCTCCCTCCGTTAACTCCTCCAGGAGCTGAGACTGGCGTCTTACCTCATGAGGCTGGCGATGGTGCCGGGGACAACGTTGCGCCGCCTCCTGAGTGTGGTCCAGCCTGCAGCCTCACAGCCCGAGCTGCTGTCCATGCTGGACACGGTCAGTGAGAAACATGCGGAGCACACGGCCACCGCGGACAACAGTGGCGCTGGGGAGCTGGGCAGGAGGAGGTGAGTGTGGTGTCTGTGCGTGGGGTCAGCAATGCCTGGGACCCAAAGGGAGAACCAGGGCAGGGGTCACGGCATGGCCCAGGCCACACACAAAGGCCTTTCCCTGAGGGCACGGCGTCATTTAAGGAGCAAATGGCAGACAGTAGGGTCTCCCTGAGGTCTTATAAGTCACTGTAGGCCCAGGTATTTTCTCCATGATTTTCATTCTAGTTGCTAATTTTTTAAAAAAATAAAATCTGAAGAAAATCAGTTTACCTGGGCCATGTAAATGGCATCTAGGCCCATTCAGGAAAGTATGAAAAATACATACAAGGAGAAGGAAGTGGCCATGGCTCGATCACCTGGAAAAGGAGATGTTAGCATTTCTTCCAAAAGTGTTCTCCACGGGTGTTGTGTGTGTGGAGTCTTTGTAAGTGTGGGTAATATGTGTGTGTGCTGTGTGAGTGTAACTTTGGTGTAGCAGAGTGTGTGTGTGTGACGTGCCTGAGTGTCTATGATACTTGTGAGTGTGACAGCATTGGTGGTGTGTGAGTATATTGGTGTATGTGGTGGGCGTGAGTGTGTGTGTATGTATGAGTGTAGGTGTGTGTGTTGTGTGTAACTCAGTGTGTATGTGGTATTTTGTGTCTGAGTGTGTATGTGGTATGAGTGAATGTGACTATTGAGGTATGTGAGTATATTTGTGTATGTGGTGGGTGTGGCTATATGAGTGGGGTGTGAGTGGTTTTGGTGAGGTGTGTTGAATGTGACTGTGATGCATGTGAGTGGGTATTTGTGTAGGTGTCTGGGTGTGTGACACAGGCCAGAAGAGCAGGAGAAAGGGGATAAAAGCCAGGAACCCGGACAGAGGAGCAGTCAGCCCCAGGGTTACAGGTGAGGAGA